CACTCAACTTTCTAGCAGTTCTACTACAGTGCTTTACCTCAGACTTCTACCTCAGAGAACTGCTCTGATGGATTAAGTTTTATCAGTGTACAGTATCCTTACTTTACCCAAATTTTTTACCTCAGGAGACAACTGCTTCAATAACTTGGGTCTCCCCCAGTTTTCCAATGATTCTCCTATTTACCAGAACCTTTTTACCTCAGAGAATCATGTTATCTGCCAGGGCAACTGAACCCTTTTCACACAATTCTTAATTCCTTCACTGAGTTAAAATTTTCAGCCAGCACATCTATAAATCCTACCACACAGAATTTTCCCAATAGCTCCTCTCTGGAGCTCCAAAATCTTCCCTAGATCTTTGGATCCTATCCCACTATCAAGAGTTTAAATGCACTGCCTAGGATTTTTCCATTCTCCTAACACTTTAAAAAAATCTATACTGGGTTTCTTCCTATCTCACCTGCTGCCATCAATTGATGTGACCAACCTTACCCAGGCTATTCACATTTAAATTACCCTTACTTTTAATACATTTGCCTTCAGCCAAAATATATGAGCCAAAGCAAATGGAAGATTATCTTTATTATAACATAGTCACTGGTGAAACTAAACAAGTTCAATTTAAGATTACACTTAGTTACATGCTAGCTCATCAACCTCCCTCCTCAAGAATAAATTTAACTCTGCCTTCCTTCTCTTCAGCTGTTTTTATTTCTCCCTCCTGCAGGTTCTTCTGTTGTTTCCTTTAATTATGTTACTGATTACAGTTAGTCTTTAAAATGCCACATCCTTTTTTTTCTTTTTTTTTTTTTTTTTTTTTTGCCTCTTGGGGATGTTTATAGAACCAGACATCAAAAGAACTGAATACTAAACAGCGGTCATAAATCACTAGAGGTGTGAAATGCAACCATATTCCACTATCTCTTAGAGTCTGGCATGAATGTTTTACTGTGTAATCTCTGTATTCCAACTCACACATCTCAAGAAATGGATGAAGTTCCACAAAAGCTTACATTAAAATAGAGCAGGTAGTGTTTAAAGTTGTTTTTTTCTTTTGTGCTTCTTGCTGAGATGCTTGCACAGATTAACACAACTACAACTCTGAAAACTGGCTTTTGGGAGAACATTTGTGATCATGTAATATGGTACATGGGATGTAATTTTAGGGCAAGCACAAGGGCTCATAGTGAACAGATTTTTGTGTACAGTGGTGCCTCGCTTAATGGGCGCCCCATTTAACGACGAAATCGCTTACCGATGAACTTTTTGCGATCACTTTTGCGATCACATTGCGATGTTTTAAATGGGAAAAAATAGCTTTGCGATGATTGGTACCCTGTTTCGCTTACCAATTATTGCAAAGCGATGATTTTTCCCCAGCTGATCAGCGGTTCCAAAATGGCCACCGGGTAAAAAAAATGGCCACCCGCTGTGTTTAGGGACGGATTCCTCACTTACCAGGCAGCAAAAATGGCCACCGTATGGAGGATCTTCGCTTAAAGGTCAGTTTTAAGCCCATAGGAACACATTGAAGGGGTTTCAATGCATTCCTATGGACTTTTTAAAATTGCATAGCAACAAAATCGCTTTGCGGCGATTTTTGCTGCACCGATTAATGTCGCTATGCGAGGCACCACTGTAGCTCCTTTTTTTAGTATGTGGGACCTATCTCTGTAAGAGAGAGGCTTAAGTAGCAACTGTTACTCCTTTATAAGCATATGTAGCTTCTTTACAAATAAAATTCCTCAAAATATGTGGTGTTCTGGAGATAACAGTTCAAAGTACTGTATTATGTAGTTGAATTTGCTTTATTAACATGGTGGCTTTAAAAAAATCTTACTGTAGTAGTTCTGACTGGCTTTCCTTTCCCAACATTGATGTTTATGATCTCTCTGTTTTAAAAATAATAGAAATTCCACAAACAGGCAGAGGGAGTCAGTTTAAAACAAAAAACTATAGTTGGAAAAAGAGTACTGCCAAAAGTAAGGAAATTCAGAGCACAAATCAACTCCCATCCTTATTCAAAACACAGCAAAGTGATGTAGCCTTCTTGGACCTTAACTTCCTTTCCACATAAACATTATAGCACAATTACACTAGCTACCTCACTCCTTCCTATTCATCACTACTGGTGAAAAAAAGTGAAAATAAAATACAGAATATGCCTTGATTATGTCAACACCTACAAACAGTAGATAAGCAGTACACTTCTAGCCACAGCTGAATAATCTTCATTGGTCCAGTATAACTGATCTGCATTTGGATTTGTGTTTAATGGTAACTCATCTCTTGTGCTTACTTGGGCTAAAAGGTAAATGTTCAAGAAGGAAGCACTGACATGCTCTTGTTCTTACATATGTAAAGCAACTGAAGAATGTTTTCCTTCGGAAAGTTGGCATTTTCACATATATTGGATTTTGGATATCTATAATTATGACACTCATGCTTTTTGATTATACTAGAATTTACTTTAAAAAAAAGTAATCTTTGTACTTTCCTAGTACTACCTATTAATGAAAACATTTTGTACATTTGCTCACAATGTGACATATGCAATCCCCCTGGGACAATGAACCCTTCTAAGAAACACACATCGTTAAATATAATTAGATGATGAATGTGATATATACACAGCTTAAGAAGCAAACTAGGTATTTGTCTCTCCCATGTGAAGAGCTTGGAAAAATGCACCTCTTCACGTGTTTCTATTTATTTACTTTTTAACGCATGCTTAGCAGTGAATTAAGGATCCCTGACTTTGATCAGATTCTCTCACAGCTGACTTAAAAAATACCAGGCAATAGTAAAGTTCACCTTTCCTGTTTACTATAGCATGTACTGTAGAAGGGGACGACAGAGGATGAGATGGCTAGACAGTGTCTGCGAAGCAACCAACATGAATTCGACACAACTACGGGAGGCAGTGGAAGATAGGAGGGCCTGTCGTGCTCTGGTCCATGGGGTCACGAAGAGTCAGACGATGATGATAGCATGTACAGTAGTTTGGTCTCAAGCTTCATCTATTATGCCTCTGAAGCAAGGAGAAACTTCCCCACTGGTCTCACTGGTTTGTCACATAAAAAATGTATGTTGGAAATCTTGGAATTTTGTTTTTTGCTTCTTTGCCATTTCAGCTTTGCTTCACAACAATTTTAGCAAGTACCTTCTTTAGATTTCTTTTTCCCACTCCCACAATGTATGATATTCTGTTTCTTCTTTCATAACTTATAGGCAGTATGGTTTCCTGGATAAGACATTCCTTTCCAAGAGCTGCTTTAGAAGCAAAAGAGGAAGACAACCATGTTGTTCTATCGCTGGTTCATCACATCACTGCATTTAAACACACAATTTCGCTGCTCCTTAACTTTAATCAATTTCCATCAAATGTTATTCTTCTAAAGCATAAAGGAATCAATGATATAGATACATCTCCTAATAAGCAAATCAAAAACCTCTTTTGGCATTGCTGCCTGATTTTTAATAGAAACATATCATGCCAAAAGTACAATTTCACTGTATAGCATTTAAGATGTGGAGATAATACAGTGGACCCTCGACTTACGGAATTAATCCGTATTGGAACGGTGGCTGCAGGTCGAAAAGTCTGTAGGTCGAGGCTCCATTGACCTACAATGCATTGAAAACCGATTAATCCGTAACCGGACGTTTTTGTTTCATTTTGGTTTTTTTCCCGGTCTGTAGATCAATTCTCCGGTTGCAAGTCGAACCTAAATTTTGCAGCCAGGGAAGTCTGTAACTCGAAAAGTCTGTAAGTGGAGCCATCTGTAAGTCGAGGGTCCACTGTATAGCATTGGATGTCTGTTGGCGGAGACGATGGTGTCATTTGTAATTCAAAATAAAATATCGATTGTTAAATACAAGTGTATATTGCAAGTTACTTTCTTTTTTAGCTATTTCCTTTGGTAAAGATATAACATATTTTTAAACGTTAACTAAAATTGTGCATAATGTTAACTCCAAGACATAACATGTGGAAAGAGGTGATGGACAGCATTTGAGATAGGTCGCATTTCATTTAGAGAAAGGCAGGGTCACATCTCTCCCCACTATAGCAGAATGCATCTGTCATAAACCTGCTACATAGCTGAAAAATGTATGCAGTTGTTGGCAGGAAAATAAGTAAATCTGCACAAGTGCTTTTGCACTACTAATATATCTTGTTGATGGGTAAAGAAAGAAACAGTGGCATTAACACCCATCAATTACCTGCTGAAGATATTTTGCCATTAGATGTTCCCACTGGAAATGAAAGCATGCAATAAGCACTGATGCTTTGAGAAAATTTAAATTAAATATCCCACCTTCTGATAAAAACTGGCGATCTGATACCCTTTCATGACACACCAAAATCAGAGCCAATGTTACATCCAAACTGGAGGCCATCAGCACTAAGTTACTGTCTTTTTTGTTGTTGTTACGTGCTGTCAAGTCACTTACGACATACTGTATTAGGATACAGTACTAACAATGAGCAATCTCCTCAACCAACCTGCTCAACTCTTCTAGACTGAAGCCTGTGGGTTCTTTACGAAGTTAGTCCAACTCATATTTGATTTTCCTCTTTTCCTGTTGTCTTTTGTGCTCAACCTTGATAACAAACCATTTTCATTAGATGGTCCCACACTTTAGTATCAAGAGTTGAAAGGGAATCTTCCCTGTTTACTCTCCACAAATCACTTGTGATTTTATGACCCATACTATTGCTATTTGTTTTGAAGCAAATATCCCCCTTAACTTCCATAGCTGTTATGGGAGGCATTCAATATAAACCAAGAGGCACAGCCCAGTCATCCATGAAGCTCAACTGGATGATTTTCTGCTAAGAACTCTCTCAGCCTAATTAACCACAGAGTTGTTAGGAAGGTAAACCGAGAAAAGCAAATGCAGCAAGTTAATTAGACAAAAAATGCAACAAATACATGAATACAATTCTAGGGAGCTACATTAAGAATTTTGTTTGAGCTGTTGTTCTAAAGGAGGTCAAGACAGCAAACATACTTTCCCGCTATTTCTTCTCCCCCCCCCCCCACAAATTTGTGAGGTGCGCTAGGTTGCGAGGCTGCAGCCTGAGGTCACCCAGTTAAGATTCATCATGGCTGGTTGGAGACTGGAAGCTTACTTTCCCTGCGCCAGGTTTCAAATATCACATCCGCTCCCCCGGTATTAGGTTGTGTCAAAATAAGTCAAATAAGAGATCTAATAATAAAACGTTTAATCCGTTGCATATTAGCACGCGCGCACACGCATATAAAAGCATTGAGGTCTCCCCTTTTGAACTACAACTGCTAGCTCCGACCGGGGGGTTTCTGAAGGGAAAGCAGGCCTTTTGCTCGCCCCCAGACGGCAGCCCCTTCCCCCGGCCTCCCGGCACACACCCACCCACCTCAGCCCCGCTTCTCTCACACGGGCATCCCGCCGCCCCCCGCCCCCGAGAGTGAGGCGACTCCCTTCCCCCTCCGCCTCCTCGCCGTCACAGCCAAGATGGCGGCGGCCGGAGTGACGGGGGGAGGGAATCCCGCCTGAGGCGCCCACACAGGGACGGGAGGGAGGAGGCGTCGGACGCTGTTGCTGCTCCGTGAGGGGAAAAAAAAAGATGCCACAGGGGGCGATGCTGTCTTTCGGCCACCCGTCGCTCCCTCGCTTTCGTTAGCCGCCTTCCTTCCGAGACAGCGAGACGGGACCTGGGAGACCTCTTCGCCCGTCACCAGCCTTTCCCGCCCGGGCTCTGCGGGGCTGTTGGTCCCCCAGCGGAGGTGAGGGAGGGCGCGATGGAGGGGGGGGGAAGGACGCGGCTGCCACCGTCTCTCGCTTCGGCCACGTTCCGGGCTTCGTGAGAGCAGCGGGCGGTGAAGGGAGTCGTGTCCGCCGTGCCTCGCTCCGGTCGTGGGGATGCCTGTGGGAAAGGGGGGGGCAGGTCCGAGCGCTTTCTTTTGCGCCT